CAGTTTAATAAAAGCAATTTCAACAGTGCTCGTAACTGAATATTTATTACCTAGCTTTCTTAGTTTCTGAAAGTTGCAAGTTAAATTTATGTAGTATCCACAAGATATGCCAGCTTTCATTTAAAAAATGATGTTTAGTTTCATATTAAATTGAGATTCAATATTATTAATGGACTAATAAAAATGGTTTGTTAATTGAGTAATGTTGGCTTCTTTTTAAAGATTTGATTTGATTGGAAGGTAATGGGAACCGTGGGAACGTACTACAGGGATCTTCCCAGAGGTTTAAGATTGTATTCATTTATTTGTTTTACATGCACGTATTTGTCTGTGTAAGTATTCATTGTACATGTATGTAACCTAATTTTACAAGGACATTAATCAATTAAACTGGAGACAGTAGGCTTGTCCCTCAACCAAATACCTTTTAATTCATTTCTGGTGAATTTAATTAATTCAATCAGCTAACCAATCAGCTATTCCTTATTCAAATGATTAGTTTTATGTGTCCTATCAAGTTTCAAAAATAAGATTTAAACAATTAAAAGAAAGACTCATTCAAGTTGAGTGCTAGTGTGTGTATTAATCATGAGCTCTGCGGTCAAACTTCAAGACCATAGGACATCAACACTTCCAAATCTCTTTCAATTCAAATCTCAACTTGAGTTGGAAAACTATTGTCAACTCTGGCCAGCTGCTCCCTCTTCTTTTTGTACACAACTGTAATACCGTTATATCTGATTCTCCCTCTCAAACTGCAGGATGAATTCTATCATATTATAGTCACTGCCTCCTAGGTGTTCTTGCACCTTAAACTCCTTAATCAAGTCTGTCTCATTACACATCACCAAATCCAGAATTGCCTATTCCCTAACGGTTCTACCACAAGTTGCTCCAAAATACCATCTCGTACAGATTCCACAAAATCCTATCACCAAAATGTCTATTGCATATTGAAGTCCCTCATTATTGTTCCAGTGCCTTTCTTACATGTCTTTTCTATCTCCTGATTGATTTCTAGTGTTGAATCAGTATATTGCCTTGGTGGGGCTGAAGAAACCCTAGGTGTCGTGCTTGTCAGCACTGAGTTGCACCTCCATAGCTTTCTCAGTCTACTGTTGGTTCTCGATTTCCCTGGGCCAACCATCTTCATTTCCTTCATCGACAGCCTTCCCTCTATCATAAATTCAGAAGTGAACAAGTTCACTTATGGTTGCAGTGTTCAATATGATACACAACTCTTTAGATGATTCCTGAATGCAGAAAGAGCAGGACGACTTTTGGGCTAGTTTTGATAATGGTATTTAGCATTCATGCCACACAATTGCCTGGGAATGGTATTTCTAATATGAGAGAGTTTACCTATCTCCCCTTGATATTCATAGGTGTGGTTATTAATGTGTTCTCACTGTCAAGATCACCTCTCTCACTAACCCCTGAAGAAGGAGTGAGACTCCGAAAGCTCGTATTTTCAAATAAGCCTGTTGGACAATAAAAACCGAAAGAACTGCGGATGCTGTAAATTAGGAACAAAAATGAAGTTGCTGTAAAAGCCCAGCAGTTCTGGCAGCATCTGCGAAGGAAAAAACAGAGTTGACGTTTCAGGTCCGGTGACCTTTCCTCAGAACAATAACCTGGTGTGGTGTGATTTTTGACCTTGTCCACCACCGTCCAATATCAGCAACTTCACATCCACAGTAGAGTGTCAGTAGATTAGTCAGTTAGCAAGATTGGGGCTAAAATTGAGTATTCTATGACAACTAACTTATCTCCTGACTTCCCAAAGCCTTTCCATCACCTACAAGGCACAAGTTAGGAATGTGTTGCAATACTCTCCACTTGCCTGCATAGTGAATCTCCAACATTCAAGAAGCTCATCACTGTACAGAACAAAATAGGCCGCATGATTGTCAATCCATCTATCTCTTTAAACATTTACTGCCTCCATCACTGGTATGCTATGAGTTCACAAATGTACTGCAGCAACTCACCAAGGTACTTAGATTCAAATGTCACTTCCTGCGAGCTCACTTCCAAGTCACACCATCCTGACTTGGAACTACACCACAGTTCTTCATCACTGTTAAGTTGAAAACCTATAATTCCCTTCTGAACAACACTATAAGTACAGCAGCACCACACTGCTCACCACCACCTACTCAAGGGCATTTAGAGTTGGGCAACACACTCTAGCTTTTCACTGACATCCAAAATCCATGAGTGAAAAAGAGCATAAGAATGCACTTTGGCCAGAGTTTGAGACTTGGATGTTTAGAGTTAATTTGAAGGAGCATCATGGACAGACACTGACTGAAATGATTTAAATAAAGTATTGTGGTAAAAATGGGCATGGATTGTGGACTTAAGATCACATTGTGGACTTAAGATCACATTTAGGTACTGTCAAGAGAAAAGGGAGGTCAGAGCTTGGGTTGACGTTACCTTTTTGGGAGAGGTTGACGAGTCAGAAGTTTACTGACAAGGGCACAATGGACCTAGATCTAGATATAATGGTCTTTGGACATGGTATCGGATGATTATTATTGGCTAAAACAGTTTCATCCCAAAGCAGTGTTTATATCTGTAGGAGTACAGAAATGTACAGAAATGCAGTATGGAAGCTGATATTTGACTAGCCAGTCTATGTCGGTTCTTAACATTCATATGAACAACAGTTATAATCTAATTTATCCACCCTGTACCTATGAAATGGTAGAAAATCCAATAAAGGAAAAAAATTGAGAGGGACTCATAGGGCGGAATCTTCTAGAGGTCTGAGAAGCATTGGCAATGTTATACTTTTGCTGAGCAGTGAGGTGAGTTTCTCACTGGGCAGTAGGGTGTTGCTAATGTTGGGGAATTATTGTTTCTTATACACCTCTTTAACACATATCCTGACTCATTAATATTTAGCTTACCAAACACACCAAACAAACTAGACATTGAGAAATCCAACATGGGAATCAGAGTGGGTAGCTAGCAAATTCAGCACATCACTGGCTGCAACCAGCCTCCAGGATGCTCAGTACCAAACATCTCTAGACACAATCTACAGGCACCAGCCACATGCACCTATCATCCATTGACATTGGCATCTGACTTTTGCCTGCCCCTCATGACCATCATTATATCTCTTTGATCCATTTGCAGGCAGCTTTGGAAGGACAGAGTTTGCATTGCAGGGCACTCCAACAACCAGCATTGAAAAGCCACAGCCAGGATGTATAATGCATGAACAGTCATCAGCTTGCAACACTCACGGTCAGGGGATCTATCCACCTGCAGTCCTGCAGTCTGAAGAGTGTTCAATGGTCCACCCTATTGGGCCAGTATCAGCAGTTGGGGGAATCACATATTGTCAGTTGGGGAGCTGCTCATGTAGTGGTCAAGTGCCTGTCAGTCATGTCAAGAGACTATGCATCAAAGTCAGTAAAAGGTCTGGGTAAATACAGACAAGAAGGTCTGTTCATCAAGCATTCAGAAGAGTGCAAAGAAGGAACCTGTAGGGGCTGCAGGGAGATCACTGCTGAAAGGGGTGGAGTGGTCAAGGTTGGAAGGCCTGGAGAAAACAGAGGCATTTTTGAGGGTGGGAAGAAAGAAGGTGACAGAAGGAAACTCAAGATGTTTGAGATTTATGCAGAACAGCATGGCAAGGCATGGTAGGCTATGGGAGAGGGGGTATTGGCAGTGCCCGCTACAGGAAAGGGGTTCTTGATAGTGCCAGCCATTGTGGTCTCCCCAGAAGGAGCAGAGAGGAGCAAACAGGGGCAGGCCATATATCATTGAAGTGTAATGTCAGGGTTCACAGGGCAGGGAGGACAGTTGGAAGCAAAGTTCAGTGTGGTGGGTTGCCACATGAGGAGTTGGGTGGAAATGTGCTGTCAGGTAGAATGAAGTAAAATGGGACATAAAGGATCTGGGGAGTGATTACCTAGTGATCAAGTAGACATGGTGTTGATGGTTTTCACTGCAGGCTGTGTTCTGTGCCATCTCTAAATGTGAAATGTAACTAGAAAATGACTGGGACAACACCCAGGATGGGCAGAGTTAGGGACAGTTTGATGGGTGAAAGAGCGGAATCTACATTCTACTGAACACTAAGTAACTGAAGGAGAAAATCAATGAAGCATGCATTTACAAACTCCAGCGACATTTCATTTTGCAAACATTTTTTTGCACATGCACAATTCATGCAGGTTTAACACGATAAAGGATTCAAATGCCAGTCAAACGTAAGTTGTAGCATGCTAATTAGCTAAACTAACATTGTGATCTTAATGATGCAGAAATTGGTGGCAATAATTTAAAAAGAGGCTCGTGATGTTCAAAAGCACGCCTTCACTATTGGAGTTTCCAAGGGTGCTGTGGGACAAGGGGAACATCACTGCATTGTATGTTGTGTAAGTAAGACACTAGGCTGCAAGCTTGAGAATATGGCATCTTTATGATAGCTTCAGCCAGTGCAAGAATTGAACCCACACTATTGGTATCACTCTATATTGAAAACCAGCTGTCGAACAGTACACCATGTACATAAGTATGGCAACAAGGCTGGACCATCAGACAAATGTTTCAATAAGGATAACCTATATTTTTGTGTTTTCTTCTTGATTAGGGTAAAATACAAACTTAATTTACTTCAAATGTATAATTGTCAATGCTTTCAGATCCAGGCAATTTGTGATTAATGTGTGGTGGAAAGGGAAGGGGAAGGAAGTTGTAATGACCCACTACATATGTCTAATCGGTACACACTATCAATCTATTAGATGGCATAATGCTAATTAAATGTTTGAAGTGCTTCCATATAACGTTCACTATATTTAATGGATCTCCACTTTTATAGTCAATTTGTTCACGTGGAGTGATCTGAGCCACACTGACTTTCAAGAGTATCAAACTTTATTCAGTGTAGACAATTAAAGCAGATATTGTCACTTGTCATCCAGTTTTACTTGCTTGCAAAGAAGAAAATCAAACTTTTAAGCAATTCAATTTTGTGTTACACTGCTTGATTGATTAAAACCTGATCTGTTTGTTTTTTGACATAATGGTGGATAGAAAGTGGGTATTATTGATATTACAACTTCCTGTTCTTCATTGTTGTAACACTCATCAAATTGATATCTACCTTGGGGCACAGGAGTTTTCAAAGTTGACAGTGGCTTTATTGAAATAAGGGAGAAATTACACTGAAGGTAATGGCATCATAAATGCATTCAAAAGGAGATTTACAATTTCCATGCAGATAGAGTGTGTATGAAATAAAATTATGAAACTGAAGCAAATAACTACATATTTGACAGCTTTTTCTTTCCTTGGGCATTCTAGATGTCTATCATAGAACCTCACAGGCCACACGTTCCAGCGGATAGAGATCCAAAGGGTCTCTTTTCTGGCGAGATGTCTGGGGATACCCATTACATATCCAGAGCTTGCCAGTTCAATCATAATGAAACACAGAACATAAGAACGTAATACTATGTGCTAGGATAGGTCCTTGTGTCTATTTCATATCAGTGCCAATAGATTACTAGATCATGTTAACTAAGTGACCAAACGCACTTTGAAGACCTGCCATGCAAAACCATTCACCTAGGACTTCTTTCTTTTTTATAATTACTGATTCAAATCCAGAAAATACTTTCTAAAGAGTAATAACACTACCATTTCCACTGGACAATTCTCATCTTGACATTTGATGTTTTTGTCACCTGGAAATGATTGATTAAAGCAGTGTGGCCAGAGAACTGATGAACGACACTAACAATCACTACAATCTGCATTTAATCAGCAGTTCTGATGAAAGGTCCTCAGTCTGAAATTACTAATTCTGTTTCCCTTCACAGATGTTGTCTGACCTGCTGAGTGTTACCAGCATTTTCTGGCTTTATTGCATTTATTTAACTCATTTAATGTTTGAAAACATCCCAAGGTGTTTCGCAGATGCATATTTTGACAAAGAGGGACGTCAAACGAAATAACCCACAAAGCAGTGGATTTCAAATGACAAGCTGATTCCATTGTCTTCCCAGTTTTGAGGAAATTGTATGTACATCTGTGCAGGAAGTTGGACAGGGATGGGAAACTGTGAAAGTTCCAACCTGGGAATTAAAAGAAAAATTGATTTACTGGTCTGAATGTCACTTGGAAGTATTCTCTCATGTGAAATCACCAACTATTGTGTAACTTATACAATATTATTGAAAAATGTAAAGAAGACAAAGGATCAGTAAAATGCAAAACAAAGCAATTAAAATGGTTTTGCTGGCTGAAGGCACAAGTAAATCAAGAGTATACTTCTAAAATTGTGAACATAACAATTCTATTGAGATAATTATTTATTCACTCTTGATACTGATACCATTTTTATTAAAAAATGGTAGATGTATGTAAGTATAAAGTAATTTGAAGTGGCATGGATGAAAATTTGTTGCAGAATTAGATAGTGATAATAAATGACCAAAGGAAAATCCTGGTCAATATGATGCCATTGCAGATACTATATCTTCTCTGTACTTTGTTCACGAACGGGGCAGGATGTGATGAAAAGTCTTAACTGCAGCTGCAGTTATAGGAATTGGTAAATGTATAACAAATGTGTCTACGGGAAATAATGTTTTTATGGGCAGGAAGTACGCACGGTCATAGGATTTTTAATTTACTAGCTAGTATCTGTCTTTCACATACATCTCTTTGTGCCTTCAGTCAGAAGAAGGGGCAATGTCCTGTTCTTACCTTTTAAACCAATCTGTCAAAATGCAATAGACCAACATGTGGTTATTATATCCTAGAATATTCCTTCTCTTTCAATGTGACGAGACAGCTGTAGCTAAATTTTAATTGGCTGCTGTTTGGTAGTCCAGTTCACCTGTACCACAGCACTTTCTGCCTCAGTGCATCTGGAACAATGGACATCTTGAAATACATTAATCCATTCATTTTTCACTATCAAGTTGCTCCAATTAGACCAAACCCATTTTCAATCCACAAATACCCAATATTTATACTAAGAGCATGAGAAAAATACAATTCCAGATTTTAACTTTGAATAAAAAATTTACTTTTTTACAACCACATAAGCTTGTGCTTTAAATAACATACAATATTTAGGGATTCCATAATACTGATTTCTGTCTGAATTTCTTTGGTAAGTCACATGGATGGGAGAACATTTTAAACAATGGCTCAGATCTCTGGTATTCAGATTGTTGCAGACTAGTTGTACAGCCAGGCACTGGGACAGAAATCACAGGTCCTGTTGCTGCTCCTGGCTTGGGCCCCACCCCGGCCTAAGTACAGTGACCCCGTGTCCAGGTTGAAAACAGTAGCTTGACTTGAACTCTGATCCCCAGTAATTGGGCTCTGAAGGTACCCCCTGTCCCCAGCTCTGTTTATGGCCTATGGCATGTGTTGGGCCCCTGCGGAGGTCTGCATGCATTGACCTCTGTGGGAATTGTCTACAATGTTTGAACTTTAGATTGGAAATTTCCCTGATCCCCAGGTCACCCCATAATTGTCTTTAAGCCAGCGTTCAGGGATACGCCTGCACAGTGCATTTTTCTCTATCTTGTTCTACCACCATAATTTTAAACACCTCCATCAGATTATAAAAGACCATGATCTCTGGGAAGCTGGAGGTTGAATCCTGACTTGATACTTAACATAGTGAAGAGAATGAACAGAGTAGGTAGGAAATTACTCTGTCATAAAATCTAGAAAAAAAATGGCATAATCTTGAAATCTGAGCTTAAGGCAGTAAGAAATAAATACTGTTAAGAAGGATTGGAGAATGGGTGATGCACTTTCTCAGATTATGACAGATCTTCCTCTTACTCAGTTCTCTGCCAAAAGTCAGGTCTGACTCAAAGTGACCACCACTGTTTGGGCAAGGGGATGCGTCTCAAATCTACCTTGGCTAGGATGGGGAACAAACCCCATTCTGCTTGCCCTGATCTGATCCATACTGGCCATCCAGCCAAGGATGTCTGAATACAACTATGACTTGTGATACTATAGACTTTAATTCTCTTTCCATACATGGCTGACCAGCAATATCCTGCCATTGGCAGATGTCAGAAGGATTTACACATTACATTCAAACTTTCTGGCCATGTTATGAATGCATCTTCTTTGGCTGTCAAGTCCTGAAGTGGATTTGAACCCTTAGCTTCAGTCTCAGAAGCAGGGATGCATCACAATGCAGGTACCTCTCACTGTGTCTGATGCAGATCATTTCGATTGTCAAAAGCAAATGGATCTTAGTAAGAAACACATATCCAGAAGTGCATTGGAATACTATCACTTTTAAGTTTCCTTCCAAGCTGTCTACAATCCTGACATGAGAATATTACCTTTCCTTCATAGTCACTGGGATGGTACAAAAATCACTCTGCTGCAATCTATGAGTTCACGGTTGACAGAAGCATCCTAAGGATAAGAAAAGAAAAAGCTCACTTAATCTTGATATTCATTACGAAGACAGACCATAGATGCCGGATCTCGTGATTCTTCTGGTTTTTCATTCCATTGGCTTCATATCAAAGCCAATCTCTGGTGACATTCTCTGGTAGTGCACATTTTCGTTAGAGCTGTGTCCACATCCAGATCGTATCTGAGGCTGGAGCTACAATTGATCGAGAATGAAAAAACAATGAGGAATCACTTGGTTACAAAGAGGGTTTCCCAGTAGAGTTGAAGGACATTCCTTGAAGATTTAGTTCATTACACTTGACTACATCAGGTATCAAACACAGTGATGTCTTAAACCATGACAATAGTGGAAACCTAAATGAAGTTTCTATACATCCCCATTTGCTCCTCAATTGTGGGAACAAAGGAGTGTTTGCATTCAGTAATACATTGATAGGTATCTGCTAGGAGTTGCATACCAACTAGAAATAGCATTCTCATTTGTGTGATTGATCAATTAACAGAATTTAAATGATTTTCTAATGTTTTAACAAACTTTCTGGAATTTTAAAAAGGATACAAACAACCATGACAATTTTTTTTCAATGAAGCACTTTCCCAAAATGATTGCTACAGAAGATGTACATTTTTCATAGGGAAAAATCTAATTTTGATTTATTATTTTATGCATATTTCATAAAATAATACATTTTAAATAATTCAAATTGGAAACTTTATGAAATTCTGACTCTCTAAAGCTTACGATTTGAAAGTTTATGGGACTAACTTTTATTCAGATATTTAGTAGTGTAAGTAATTGGTATAAACTCAGAAGTAATTTGTCTGCTGGCTACTTGAGCCCTAGGGATTGGAAGATACAGATCTTTTTTAATTGAATGGGTGGATGGTTGTGTCATCTGATGAGGAATTTCAATAGTGCATTTTCAGGATCACAAGTCTTTGGGTAAAAATTAGCAAAGCCAAATAAAGAGTATTTAATTACACATCCAACCCTTGCCATGATTCATATTGACTAATCTTTCTGCAAATAACTACAATTTGCATTTATATAGAATATTTTGAGTATTAAAATATTATAATACTACAGAAATTGGCATTGAGCCACAGAAGACCATGTGAAAAGTGTCCAAACGTTGGTTGAAAAAAATTGTTTTTATGGAGAGTCTTAAAATAAGATACATTGAAAGGCAAAGAGGCTTAGGGAGGAAATTCCAGAACTCAGGTCTTCCATGGCTGAAGGCAAGGGTTGCCAGTGGCGATGAGAACAAAAGTTGGGAATAAAAAGCAGGCCAGAATTAAAAGGATGTGGATAACCTGGAAGATTACATAGCTGTAGGAAGTTGCAGAGATAAGAAGGAGTAAGCACATTGAGAGATATGAACATGAGAATGAAATATAATCGAGTCCAGGGTTTACCCAGCCATTCTCATGAATGTGGGGGAGCTGCTGGCAGTAATCTTTGTCCTTGTTGGCACTCTGGGTCTTGGTCACTGAAATAACTCCACAGAGGCCAGTATTCTGTCACTAAGTCACCCTTTATTTACATGTGGCAAGCCCTTCACAGTGATCAGCTCTCAGAGTGAACAGAACTGGTGGCACGTCAGTTTATATCTGTCAGCCAGGGCTCCCTGATTTGATCAGGTTGACAGCCCTAAATAGGGGATCATATTCTATGAGATCCATCTTGCCGGCCTCGTTACAATCATTACAGTTCCCTTTGAATGCAATGAGTCAGGCAGATTATCCAGTGGGGGTTGCTGCAAAAGCATGTTTCCCACAGGTACACTGGAATAAAAACATATTGCAATTGGAGCTCCCTGGGAACCTGCCAATCACCTTTGTTTGCAGGAAAGCACTGCACTTCCTTATTGTTCAGCTAATATATGACTATATCAGGCAATTCCTCCAGGTTTGTGCTCAATGTCCAGGGAGTTCTCAAAACTCCTACATTCTGTAGCACTCACATGGGATGGAGATCCTTAGTGCCGCCCCATCAATTACAACGCTGGCCGCTGGGAGATGAGGGCCATCCCCGGAGGACCTGGCTGATGATACCAATGAGGAATTTGCAGCCTGGCACCAAGGAGAAGTACAAAACTGCATATCCCAGGAAAGCTCAAAATCATTATCACAGTTTTGAACTGCTCCTATGGTGCATTGCAGTGTACCACAGAAAGAGTCTCTGAACTGTCATGGTGTGCTACGCCCTCTATGACCTCTTTCACAAGGGGAAGTGACTTGGGAGATGAACAAAAGGAAGGCCAATTGCTCTCCACCAATGAGGAAGATTGCAATGGTCATGTTGTGGGTCAGCAGGTCACCCACAGACAGGAATAAGCCAGGGAAATAAGGCAGTCAGGCCAATGAGAATCTTTCTGTGAGCAGATTCAAGGCTGAGTGAACTACAAATAACTGTTTATTCTGATATACTTTTTAAAATCCTGCTTGCTGGGAGATTGCTGCCTCTTCTTGGGGACATTCATCACTGAATTATTTAAGTTAATTTGTTCTCTGTTTTATTAAATAAAGCATTTGATTTTGCTTGAATTAGGCTGTTAGTGTGATCCCTTGGGTGTATCAATCTGTATAGACAAACTTAGCCTTTGCAATAATTATGCACAACTGTACCTTCAGAGCACTGCATCCTCCCAAGACCTACAGATCCAGGCAGGAAGAATGATTATGGGCCTTACCTCAAGCAAGTCAAATGCATGCTACCTTTAAAGTCACATGCTGATTTACCATGGCTTGGTTGCACACATGTCACTGTGCAACATGCTCCACATGCTTTCTTGAGAACTTTGTAAGGACAACGGGAGAGAAAAGAGGAGCAAGATTAGGCTGGTTGGACCCTGGAGAAAGCACTGCAGTTCTCCTACATCATGGCTGATGTGATTCATTACCGTCCCTCACTATTCCTACAGTCCTAGATATCTTTCATTCCATAGCTTATGGTTGCATTAGATAAGCATCTTCAGTGACTTGGCTCCCCTACACTATGGGCAGAACATTCCATCCAATCCTTTTTGGACAGAGTAAAGTCTTCACGTCTCAGTTGCACATTGCCTAACTCTTATTTGGAGAATGTTTCATTTGACTATGAAGACTTCATGGCAAGGCCTATCCAGAGAAAGGCCTTTCCTTCTTCACCCTGCATACCCCAGTTACATTCCTCATATGGATTGTCTCTCTGCTTTCTATGACGTAGCAAACAGGCCTATTCTCCTCAATATCACTTCAGTAGATAGTGCCACTGTCTGAGATTAGTCTCATGGACCTTGACTGCAATCTCCAAATGATAAATCTAATCTCATAGAGGTAATGAGAACATCATGAGGTTCACACATTGATGATGGTGTGAGACAGACACTAAAAGTTCTGTTGATGGAGGACCTATCACATTCTGATGGGCAAGACGCTCCACTCCATTCCCTTCAGCCAATTGTTGTAGCATCTAGTGGCATAGTGAGATTATAGCAAAATTGTGCCACTCATGTGCCTACCACAACATCGAGGTGTAGCCCTGACATCCACAATTGAGTTTGAGCCATTCTGCTGGTGGCTATGCCTGTTAACTGTGATGATTTGATGGTTCCAGGCCTAGAGGGGCCTAGCAGGCTGGGAGTCCTCTGCACAGATGCACACTCCTCAGGCAGAGCAATTCTTGACTGGCCTGAGGTGAATCACGAAGGATATAACTGGTGCTCCTCCTCTCTACGGGTTCCCGATGACATCTCCTCATTCCTTGGGGTGAAGAGGCACTGGAGTGAGGTTGAGGTGTTTTGACCCCTCTGGCCTTGCCATTGATGCTCTGTACTGAAGGACAACAGCAATGGAGAGGAGATTCAAACACATATACAGCATTCATTGTGTTCTGCAGGACTTGATTTTCGAAGGTGGCTTCCAGTCTTTCCATGTGGACAGTGAAACACTCACATGCCTATGCCATGTCAGTAGAGGGAACTTGGACAGGCTTCTCCAGTTTGTGTTCTAGTCTTCTCGTGGTCTCAGGCAGGCTCTACCTGATGTTTCCTGCCTGTCTCTGGTTCTTAAAGAGGTCTCATATGGCCAAGTGCAGAGGTTCATCATCTACACTGCAGCAGTCCTCCAATTGTCAGAAACCTCAGCAGTCGCTTCTTTTGCTGCTGGGTGGACCTGAGTTTGTAATGTGCTCACCAGGTTGTGACCCTGAACCTAATGCAGATTGTATATCCATTGTTGCTGTGCTGACAGTGTATCCAGTGCATCGTCTTGAGTTTTCAGAGGAATAATCCTCCGAGTTGATGGTGGCAGTGCAGCTAGAGGCTCAGGATGAGGTGGAGAAAAATCTGGAGGGAGGCTGTCTTCTCTTTTTGTTTTGTTAGCCATGAGTACCTGCATTGGAGAAGTGAAAGAATTAGTTGTTGGTCATCTACACTCTCTTATCTAAACAATCTCTAACACTGTTTGCACACCTGACAATAGCAGACTGGAGATATCCTCCTAGCTTCCTGATCTCTCTAACTGCACAGGCACGGTCACAGTCAGAGACGTAGGGATTGAATGGTTTCTGATTCTAGGTTAAGTTTTTAGATAGGCTGAATAGTCTCAAGAGGAGGTTATTCAGCCCATGAGCCTAAAGTGTGCCAATCTGTATAGCAGCCACCTGTCAGAGTCATACAGCATGGAAACAGACCCTTCAGTCCAACCAGTCCATGCCAACCATAATCCCAAACTAAACTAGCCCCATCTGCCTGCTCCTGGCCCATATCCCTCCAAACCTTTCTATTTATGTACTTTTAAACATTGTCATTGTGCCCACATCCACCAATTCCTCAGGAAGTTCATTCCACACACTAACGACCCTGTGTAAAAAATGTGTCTCACGCCTTTGAAATCTCTCTCCTCTCGCCTTAAAAATGTGTCTCCTTGTCTTCAAATCTCCTATCCTAGGGGGAAATTCAACCATCATTAACTCTGTGCCCCTCATTATTTTACAAACGTCTATATGGTCACTTCTCAACCTCCTACGCTCCAGTGAGAAAAGTCCCAGCCTTCCTTTATAACTGAAGCAAGGCAATGAATTGTAATTGTTCACTTACCAGTGTATGAAAATCAACTCTTCTTTCTTTGTTTCCTTGGTCTTGAAGGATGCATTATAAAGGGCATAGCGGCAATCATTCTATGGAAGCATTTTAATAAAGCTGTTGAGTGGGTCATAAACTTTTCCCTCCACAACACCTCCAACTGTAATCTGCTTCTCCTGGTCCAAAATTATTTTCTCTTTACTATCATCCAATTTAAAGAGCACTGCCTCCTTCCTCTTCTTCAAACCTGCCTGGCTGCATGACTTGCTGACTTTCACGTCATTGGAACAGTTGATCACTTCATCAGAGACTGCAACACCGGATGCCTGGGAAGACAAGCGCATGCATTTTCTTGGTTTTCTGATCACACGAGTCACTGGCTGTCTATATCCAATTACCTTTGAACCCATTGTCTTACTCAGCCATCTGAGAAGACAGGCAATGCTGTGGGTCTGGAATCACATGTAGGCCAGACCAGACAAGGATGGTAGATCTGCTTCCCGAAAAGAACATTAATAAATCAGACAGGTTATCTTCAGGGACCAGCCTTGAATTGAAAGTTGCTCTGATTTACTAATCCAACAACTTTACTACCATATATTACCAGAGGTAGAAAGCTTCACTAACCCAGTGTCTGAGCAGGATGTTGATAGCCAACAGACAAACCAGAATGATTAACTCACTAAGCCAGCCATCTGCTACAGGAAATAGCCTCCCCTGCCAACCCTGCAGCCTGCTCCTCGAAGGAGCTGAGGGTGCAATATCTGGGCATCTGGGCCCATGCTCTCCTTCTGTAGGTGTTCTTGTCCTGCAAGCAAAGAAAGAGAAGTAATGAATGTCATCACTATGACAGCATGAGCATTTGAGCGTGCAAAACTCTGCCAGGTCCTGATCCCACTCCCCCACGAATGACCTAAAAGTGCACTGCCCAGAAACCCATTCAGTGCACATATCACATTTGGTGCTGAGGTTTGCATCCGTTGGTCCTATCTGAGTGATTGACTAGCATGGACAACCACACAAACTGAATGACTCTCCTGGCTTGGAGTGTGTGAAAGCCTGCCAACGTGGCCTTTAAATACCTTTAATGACCTTCAACCTTAGTGAATCCCAGTGGGGGTGAGAACTTCCTTACTGCCCATGCCATCAGATTAATTGTTGTCCTCACACAAAATTTAAAGGCAAATGGTGTTTAATTAATGGGATTGGGTTGAGATAACAGAGAGTGTAGAACAGGGTAATGTGGTTGCCATGGAGTCCAAGGATTTCCAAAAGGCAGTTGATAAAAGTGCCAGGAAAACTGAATCGCATGTATTAAAAGGAACATTGTCAGCATGGATGTAATGTTGGTTGATTGACAGGATACAGACAGCAGTGATGAACAGTGATTTTTTTTGGACTGGGGAAAGATATATGGTGGGATTCTTTGAGGGTGTTTTCTTGACTTAGATTCTGGAGTACAGCACACAATTTCAAAATTTGCAGATGGCACAAGGTTTAAGAATATATTGAGAGTAGTGATGCCTTTTAAATGGACATTGACAAGCTGGTGATAGGCAGATGCTTGAGCATAGGAAGATTTTGTGCAAAAAAATTTGAAATGACACATTTTGGAAGGAAGAGAAATGAGGGGAGTTTGAATTAAACTGTGGAACACTAAGTGGGTGCAGGAACAGAGTCACCTAAAAAATGTGTGTGTAAATAGTTGATGGTGGCTAGACAGAATGGGGCGTAGTGGTTAAAAAGGCACATGAGATCCTAGGCTCTCAGAACAAAATTTTAAAGTACAAAAGCAAGGAAACAATAATGGATGTTTATAAAATGTTGACGAGACTTCAACTGGAATATGGTACTCAATTCTGGACATCACACTTTAGAAAGGATATCAACCTAGAGATGGCACAGAAAGAATTTATGAGAATGGTTCTAGGACTAAGGGATTTTAGTTTAAAATGGGTAAATAGAAGAACGGTTTGGTACTCTTGGGGATGGTTGAGAGAAGATTTGATAAAGGTGTTCAAAATCAGGACAAGTCCAGCTAGTAAAGAGAGAGAGAATTGGTACCCATTGGTGGGTCAAGAACAGGAGGACTCAGATATGGTGAATAACAAAAGAAGTTAAGAAATTAATGAACATTTTTTTAAAAAACCCTTCAAGCAGAAATCAGTTGTAATTTAGAATGTATGGCATAAGTGTGGTGTAGGCAGATTCAATCATGGCTTTCAAAACAGAATTGGATAACCTGATGGGAATAAATTGCAGGGCCAGGGGGAAATGTCAGAGAGCGTGACTAGTTCAATTTGACACCAACTGGGCAAGCTGATTGGCTTTCCCATATAAAATGGGGAAATACTTCATTTATTGGCATTAATATTAATTGTGGCATGGTGGAGATATCACCACAGCCAAATCCTGGACATACACATGCTCAACTTCTAGTTTGTTAGGTACTAAATAGTGAAGAATGAGCCAGTTGGACTATTTGCATATGTTTCCTTCCCAAACTAAAAGTTAGTGAGACCAGTTCTATACTATCATGAAACAATTTCCATTTTGATCTGATTTGTTTTATTATTGTTACGTGTACTAAGGTACGGTAAAAAGTGTTGTCTTATGTGCTTTACAGGCAAATCGTACAAGTGCATCAGACTGACAGAACAGAATGCAGGATACACGCAAATATACGGTTAGTCATGCAATTTTGGAGTCACAACTATACCTACTTGCCAGATGTTAAGTCCTAATTTAATGCAAGCTCGGCAGAACAGAGGTTTTGGATGGGGGTAAATGGACCAATTGCTGAAATCCAAAGTAAAATAAACATTTACAACATCCTTCGATCAATAAAAAATTTGGCAAATAATTTATGTCTCACATTCACTTATTTCCATTGCATCTATTGTAGAAATGAATCAAGCTTGAATATCTGAACTATCTGTTCTAGCATCAATCTTTAGTTTCATTGTTGGCTCTAGCTGCTTTTAAATACTTGAGTCTGTATTGACAAAAAGAAACATCAGAATGCAACTTTAAAATAGTTCGTTGATTTAAAATGAACCTAATGATAACTATTTCCAGTCCCTAAACAGTGAACATTTCACATGATCACCACCAACTCTCGTCTTCGTTCATTTCACGCGTTCTCATGGAACTCTTTCTCGGCAGTGGCGGATGAATCCACACTGACTGCTCGAGGCGAGGGATGGGTCTTTTCCAAGGGATCTCTGACGTCAGCGGCGGGCGACAACGGGTCTGCGCGAGACCGAACAAAGCGCTGCTGTGAGCTCACATTCCAATCTCCTAGGAGACCGCCTGCAACTTTCTCCGCACCGCAACACAACCGAGTCACTCCCTTTCTAAGTACAGCTCCGAGTCTCCATCCTTGCCTTCACGCCCTCACTGAAAGTGCTCTTTCCTTGCCAACGATTACCCTCACAGCGCCTCTTCACCTTAGACTCCACGATTCCTTCTCCCTCCCCTCCCTTTACACGTGCCTCGATTCCCACTTCCCCTCTGCCTCCCCCTCCTCACTGTGTTGTATCTTCCTCCCTCATCTTCCCTTCC